ATGCCACCATCTGGGCCCACGTTCTAAGTTACTCTAAATGCAATTCTAAAATTGCATTTTAAAAAATTTACATTGCTTTCAAGAACTTAAAAACCTAGGTACCCTCATGCTCCAGTCTGATGAGTACAGAGCAACTGAAAAAAAAGATAAACCTGTAAATGCTGACATGGCCGTAACATACTAACATAAAGTCACAGAAAAGTCTGATGTCACTTCTGCAAGTAAAGTTTCTATGTGACTGTGTGCATGTGTACGTAAGTGTAACACACACATATCTTCCTTCTAACCCTTCAGGTCTCATCTGAATATCACCACACAGAAAGGACCTCACCTCACAGAAAGGTTCACTGTTTCAAAAATAACTCCTACTCGGGAACCAGCAGTTAGCGTAATGGCTATGTCGCTGGACTCCCACGTAGTCGACCGCGGTTCGTGTCCCGGATCCGGTGGCTTAAAACTCACGCCGGGCGCGTGTGCGTGCGTGCCCAAGATCCCGAGAGGAGAATGGAGGAGAAGGGATTGCGGCGTGACCATCCCCCCTGGGGGGTGATTTCTCGCTTTCTGTCTCTATGTCTCTCTCTGTCTGTCTGGCGAGCGCACGCGCCCTACAGTGAAAATCTCTCCAAAAAAAAAAAAAGAAAAAAAAAAATAACTCCTACTCTAGTAAAAAAAAAAAGAAAAAAAAATTTAACTCCTACTCTACACCCAGTAATTTTTTATCAGAGCATTTTTTAAAATTTCCTTTCAGTAGACATAAAAGTTTTCATTGTCTTGTTTATTCATTTCCTTGCTTATTGTCTGTCCCCATGAGCATTATGAGGGCAAAAGAAGCACGCCTGCTTGTTACAAGCTATTTCATCCCACCACCTGGCGCGATGAAGGAGGACTTTTACAGAGAGGCGGAATTCTGCTCAACAGTAGTTACTGAATGAATGAATACATCAGAGAGGCTTGTTAACCAGGTCTATCTGTAGGAAGGGTTAAAAGTAAACTCCCTTTTCTCTCGGTCAATTATGCATTTTTATTTTTGACAGTGCACATCTGCTATTTTAAAACATTTTAGCTGCAAGTCTCGTTTCAACCAGACCTTTCAGCTGCCTTGCAATCTGATCACATGAGATGATTCTCGTTTTGCAAATTTATGTGATCTAACTGAATAGTAAGTGGATTTTTGCTGTTTTTTATTCTGTCATCTTTGAATCACGAAGCTGACTTTTCATCTCCGCTCTAATTGAGTTTAATGCTGACTACTGAATTTCTCCGGGAGCTTTGCCTTTCTGTGTCCTTTCGGTTACTATTACCTTAAATGTGGAGTGTCTACACCTCGCAGACTGTTGTGTGTGTTACTCTGTGTGTCCTCAGAGGTGAGCTGTGCAGAGCTCATTGCTTACACTCACAGGAAAGGTAACGGCGAGCCAGCTCGTGGGTGGAGGGAGGGGACCCAGACCAGTGCTCCAGGGCCTGAGCGTAGGGCCCTCTCCCTACCCCAGTCACGGCACTGAGGAAGGTCCCTGACCAGGAGTGCCTGGGTCTGCCTGAAAGTGCATCTCCTTTAATGCCCAGGCAGAAGAAGTGTTTTCAAACACACAGTAAATTCATGTATTATAAAAACGACTGCATTTTTATTAGCAGTGAGAAGGAGCCCAAGAGATCGCTGAACTGAATTCTTCAATTTTTTTAGAAAATAAAACCTCACAGAATTTCTGTACCAAACCCAACCACTCAGTCAGTCCATGGCAGACGAGAACTAGAACCTAGGCATTAACATCACATGCATTTTCTGTCTTAAAAAAAGCCCCTGGACATGAAATTCGTATTTAAGAAGTTGGATTACAAAACAGTTACCTTCTGTAAAACTTTTCCTAAAGTTACTATTACTGCCCCCCCAAGGCAAAATAACTGATGAGACTTTGACCTTTAACACCAACACAAACTACTATATATCCTAGTACTTCATATTTAAAACATTCCACTAGCAATTAGTGATTTCCTGCTGTCTAACCCGCCTTTAATCATGCCAGGCCATTAGTCACTTATTCCAGAACTTTCATTACTTAATGCTAATCTCAGATACTATCTGGAATTTCTGACAAATGTTTCTGTCCAAAAAAGAAAGGGGGGGGGAGGAGGTGGGGACACTGGACATGCGCCCTTATCTACCAGGCCACAGCATCCTAGAGATCACGCATGCACTACCAGGTGTGAATTTCCTCTACTGAAAACAAGTCCACACCCTCCCTTCTCATCAGCCTTCTCTCTGACTGGAACTGAAGTCGGAGTTGTGAGAGTGGGCATGGCAGCACATCAGGAGAAAACGCGCGCTTCTGTGTCTCCGCATCCCAGCCTCGTATGACAGCTTTGGTATCTATTTTTAAATTCAAACTGACACAGGAAGAAGGGCCAATAAAAGTGAATGGAAAAATCTGCAGAATTTTACCACAACTCTTACTACTCTTAACATAGCTGCAATCATTTATATGCCAATTAAAAAAAAAAGCAGTCAATAAAGATTACTAAAAAAAAAAGAAAAAAGAAAGACAGTATTTTCACCAAAAAAAAATATGACAGGCTATACTAATTTGAAATGGCAGCAAATAAAAATACTATTTTATGTTCAATGAAATATTTTAAAAGACACAAGTTCTTCTAAAATCAAGAGAGTTGCTGTTACTAAAAATGCCTAAAAATAAAGTAGAATATTATAAGCTATATTTCCTATGTTTTGACTAAGAAAGAATGTTTGAAGCAACATTCCAATTCTACTTTCCAATGTTTCCTGGTGATGTTGCACAATGTGGTATTATTTTAACTCTTACCAGGAAGTTGCATTTGATAATTAATAACCATGCTGTCCAACCACATCAGCTGGTGGCCTACCACCTCACCGGCCGTAGGCTGAAGGTGGACAGGCAGAGATGCACACTTCCAGGGGTTGGAAAACTCCCCCAGACGTAAGCCACCACAGCAGGACTGCCAGAGACACCTGGATGCTTTCCACAAGTTTTCAAGCAAGGACTATGGAGACAGGCACTCCCATGGACTCCCCCGGCTTCCAGCACTTGACTCCTGTGTTCCTGGGGGTTACATCCACTCGGCCGTGGTCTAAAGGTTTCCTGCAAACCGGGTCTGCTCTGCAGTGCTCCGCAGTTCTCCGCAGCTCCGCCCTGGAGCCACGAGGCTGGGCAAGTTTCCTCGCTATTCACACTCAAAACCTGACTGCCTTCTCTCACCCTTACATTCTTCACGTCCCTCCTCCTCGCCTCTCCCTCACTTTTTCCATTTAAAGCGTCAAGTGAAGCTGCCTGCCACTGACCAGCAATGACGCAGGCCACAGATGACCAGGGCCGAAGGGTCTGTATCGTACAGTCCCGTCGTTGGCTCTGAGGGCCAGAGAACAAATCTCTTAGACTTTAAGGGCCCTTTGGACTCTGCCAGCAGTAGTTACCTCTGCCATTACAGCGTGAAAACCACCACGGACAGGACACGGACAGTCTGTGGACAAACACGTGTGGCTGTTTCACAATAAACCTTTATTTACAAAAACAGGGCATGAGCTGGATCTAGCCCTCAGGCCACACTTGGCCAGCCTCAGTCCGGTCCAGGGATCCTTAAATGTCCCTACGTCAGTGTGTCCCAAACTGTGTTCTTTAAGATATCAACGGAGCTACCAAATAAACAAACTACAAGGCCCATGCACGGCCAGCGGATTTGGGAATGCACGTGTGCACATTGCATCCCACTCCTGGAAGCATGGGAGGCCAGCGGATAGAGAAGAGGCTCCGACGGGCCAGGGGTCGTCGGCCCTCGTGCTACCACACCGAAGGGTACAGCAAGGTCCGCCAGGTCTGCAGTCCCTGCCGCAGACCCGGGTCTCCCAGCCTAGGGCCGTCTGTCGCCCTAACTCCTGTCTACGTCCTTCTACCCTCCTCGATGGCAGCGGACAGAAAGGCGGGCACTTAAAGACACGCCTTTTCAGCATTAAAGCATTAGTACTTCTAGCATTGAAAACACCTTTACCGATTACAGAGAAAGTAATGTATGATTGTTTTAGAACACTGAGGAAATAGCATCCCTGAAAAATAATAATACCAATATTTTGGTGTGGGAACACACTTTTTAAACTAAATTCAGATTGTTTCTAGTACTTTTCCACTTGACGTTATATTCTGGGATTTTCCTGATATTATCAGAGTATCAAAGGCATGGTTTTTAATAGCAAATAATTTTTCTACCCTAAGGTTATGCTATAATTATTTTAACTACTTCCTCTATTTTAGAGCACATAGTCACTTCCTATTCTTCTTCTCTCTATGCCTGTCTCGTTTTCTCTTTAAATTACTCATGCTGATATTAATAAGTCTTTGTCCAGATCTCTGACTCCCTAGGAGAACTTCCGAAGAGAACAATGAGTGGGTTGAGTCAGTAATCTTTCAGAAGCAGTGAACAGAATGGTGTTATCAAATGGTTTAACAGGGTGAGGGAGAGACACAAACGGACTGCACCCTCATTAGCCAGCAGGAAGATGTGCACTTAGATACAAAATCTCTGCAACTAGCCGACGGCGCTCTTACCGGGTGCTAGCCCCCACACGATGAGTTGGCCTCACAGACTGCACTACCTCGGCCCTCCTACCGGGTGCTAGCCCCTCAAACGCTGAGTCACCCTCGCAGACCGCACTACCTCGGCCCTCTTACCGGGTGCTAGCCCCCTACACGCTGAGAGCCTCACAGACCGCATTACCTCGGCCCTCTTACTGAGTGCTAACCCCCCACCCTGAGTTGGTCTCACAGACCACACTGCCTCAGCCCTCTTACCAGGTGCTAGCCCCCCACACGCCAAGTCGGCCTCAGAGACCACACTACCTCAGCCCTCTTACCAGGTGCTAGCCCCCCACATGCTGAGTTGGCCTCACACACCACACTACCTCGGCCCTCTTACCGGTAGCTAGCCCCCTACACGCTGAGTCAGCCTTGCAGACCGCACTACCTCGGCCCTCTTACCATGTTCAAGAATTATCAGCTGGGCTCCTGCTTGCACGTTTCCAAAGTCATTCTCAGCAATACACTGATAAAACCCTTCGTCTGATTTCACCAGACCCAGCACTTGAAGGTTATGCTCCTTCTGAGGGAAAATAAAACAAAACAAAAACACATAAATAACACTTTATAATTCAACTGATAAATATTCAAATTTGCAAGGATATGTCCTTTTGGGAGGGAGGATAAATGAGTAGAACTGTATGATTCAGTTACTGTGATCGACCTATGTGTAACCCCGTGAACTCACCTTGTATTAAAGTATCGGCAACGATCAGCTGACAAGAGCAGCTCTTAGAAACAGTAAAGAACTCAGCACTCAGGCAGTCGCCCCTTCACTGCTGACTTAAACCTCTGCTTGGAAAATGTCAGACGTGTGACGCCATGTGACTACAGTCAGTCTGAATTCCTCCCATGGTTTGAATGTGTCCTCCCGAAATTCATGTGTTAAAAACTGGGTGAGCCATTGTGATGGGATTAATCTGTTGATCATGTTGAAAGGAAGCCTTTGGGAAGTGATGAGGCCCCCCAAATCGAGCCCTGGGTTTATGAGGAGAGGGGAGGAGACAGACATGTGACGCGGACACACTCACTTCTGCCCTCTGCTATTTGACCCACCAGCAAGGAGACCCATACCACATGTGGGATCTGGACCTGGGACCTCCAGAGTGAGCTGATAAACCTCTGTTCTTTTTAAATTACCCAGACTCAGGTATTCCTGTTATCAGCAATGAAATGCACTACAAATGTTTGTGGATTTAAGGTACTTTCTTCCAATTATCTGAAATACCAACAGTTCTAACAGATTAGAGACAGTAAGTGAAGACTTACATATGAGCTTCCCTTAACCATGATGCACTATATAGACACCCACTACTGTGATCACTATAACGAACATGGTTTAAGACTTTTAAAAAGTATACTAATATTGATAAAAGAATAAAAAAGCAATTTAGCTATAAGAGGTTGTGTTGTCCAATTAAATACTAGTAAATTACTTTTTGTAATATGAAATTATGCAGTTCAAAAATAGGAAATACATTC